CAGAGGCAGCAACTGGGGAAGCAACAGAGGCAGCAGCTGGGGCAGCAGGTGGCTTCTGGGTCTTATCTTCGCTGTTCATGGTCGCGGTGGTGGTGATGGGGCAGGCAGCGACGGCTGAGGCTCCTCCCGCAGTGTGATGGTGACGAGGCCGGCTGCAGCGGTGGGGCTCTCAGGGCTCTCTGGGGTCTGCTCTCGGCTCCCGCTACTGACTGAACTCTCCTTTATTCCCTCCTGCTCATAAATTCCTTCCCCATTGTGACGTATAGCTCTGTAAAATGACCCCTCAAGAAGAGTTCATTTCCGGGTCAGGATGGTGACATAGGCCTTAGCACTTAAGCTAAGCACTTAAGAGGCAGAGGCAAGTGGATCTCCACGAGTTCGAGGCCACCCTGGTTTATGAGGTGAGTTTTAGGCCAGACATGGGTATATGAGACCCTGTTTTTTTTTTTTTTTTTTAATATATTTTTTGTAAGTAAGTAACAATTGCCTCATGTACACACTGTTAATTAGATATTCCAGCAGTATGTTCAGCTCATCTTTACTCTGCCCTTAGACTCTTCGAACTACCAGTGGGTACTTTAGAAGCTGTCTCCAAAGGATAGACACCGAAAGCTGTAGAGGAGAAGAACCTAGACTGGAGCTTATCACAGTGTCCTCTGAAAGACTCCACCCAGCAGGGGATTGATGCAGATGCTGAGACTCACAACCAAGCTTTGGACAGAGTTCAGGGTCTTATGGAAGAAGGGGGGATGTAAAAGGACCTGGAGGAGACAGGAGGACTTCCCTTATCAGTGGACTAGGAAAGAGGGGTAGGGGAGGAGAGGGATAGAGGGTGGGGCTCGGAGGAGATGAGGGAGGGGGCTACAACTGGGATACCAAGTGAATAAATTGTAAATAATAATAATAATGGTAATAATAAACTTCAAAACAAAATAATTACTAGTTAGTTGTTCTGTGACCATACAGAATTTATGTGTAGCTACTGTCAGCCTTCACTATGACTGAGACATTGTTTCAATGAACAGGCAATTCAGAATACAACCTTTCTCCCTTTTCACAGTTATTCCTTCATTGTGTCTGCCCTTTAATCTCATTTTCCTGATTCAAAGGTTTGTGATAATAATTAATAAAAAGGACTTAGATAAACTCCCCACCATGATTAATATGCCCAATCTGCCTATGAAAAAGAACAACTAACTGTAGATTTCACTTTGTTGTTAATATTAGTGGTCAAGCTGACAGGATTCATCACGACCTAAGAAAAAGCCTCATGATGTACCTGTAAAGAATTGTCTGTTTAGGTCAGCCTCTGGACAGGCCTGCAAGGAATTTTCTGAATTAGCTTCTCCGTGTTCTGGTGAAAGATTGTCTACCTTAGGTAGAGGTCGGAGACTCGATTTAACTGTGGGTAGCACCATTCCACAAGCTCAGGTCCTGGACTAAATGTAAAAAGAGGAAATGTCAACTAAGCACCAGCATGCATCACTCTCTTGACCTCAAGTGCCTGCCAACATGGCTTTCCTGCCATCACGTACTGTACCCCTACAGAGTGAATAAACATGGTCTCTTTAAAAAAAAAAGCTGTCTCCAAGATAGGATGTGATGATAGGCCATGACATTTAGTGGGCGACTATTTGAGTAGAAAAGGGTTATTAGCCTCAGGTACTTATTAATTGTAAGGAAAGACAGCAACGAAGCCAGCAGACATATCTTAGCAAATGATCTTCATTAATCAGGCATGCCAGCATCATGTTTCTCTAATATGAAGTCCTGGAAAGGCACTTGCCTGATATTCTTTCATGAAATGCATAATCTTAGTCTAATTATGAAAAACACATCTGATGAACCTAGATTACAAAGTATCTGGGGAGATAACTAAACAATGTTTTTCAACAATGTCAGTGTCAGAGTAGACAAGGAGATTGCAGTTACCTCAGTTGACCATGGAACAAAAAGGGTTAGAGGAACTAATTGGGGTAATGCAAATAAGGCATGCTAGCACTATATTGATGGCAACTTTCAGTTTCTGAAGATTGCACTGCAGATACATAAACTGTTAAAGTCGCCAAGAGCTGAGTAAGAGGTATACTTCCATTCTTAGAGCTCTTAACAGGTGCTCTGTAGGTCTAAACAGATTTCAGAATAAAAAGTTAGAAAAGGAATTTTGTTAGAAACATGGGAATACCAAAAAAAAAAAAAATCCAGCCAGTTTACTATTGCCTTACCACATGCCTCAGTCCCTCTGTGAACCAAATGGAGGTGTGTAATTATCTTTTTCCACATTTCGTGCTTAATTCCTGCAAGTTGTAGCTTGTGCGGAACATCGCGATCCTGAGGGGAGCCTAGGAAAATGATATTTCATGTTGCAAGACTCTAAGGGTAAAACTGAGAAGAGCCATTCCAGTCTGATTTCACCAGCTTCATTACTTATGAGAAATGTGTCTGTAGAGGAAAAAAAAAGTGTAAAAAAATAGTTTAAAAAATAACATTACACCGAATAGGATGTGTTTATATATTTAGGAATATATGTATGTATCTTCTATCTATCTATCTATCTATCTATCTATCTATCTATCTATCTATCT